AAAGCATAGACTTAGACAAGCCAGACGCGAAGCACTCCGTGGGGGACTGGGTGCGAACGCCGAGGGGACCCTGGCCACACTGCAGAACCTCCTCGCGGCGGCAGCGGACGGCGTCTACGTCTTGGTCGGGGCCTACCCACACGCAGGGGAAGCAGAGGGAGTGGCTCATCCAGCAGACGTCCTTGCTCTGGCGACGGGGGCAGCTGAACGCAGACCTCTGACAGGGGAGCCACAAGCCCTCCATGTATACAGAGCCAAAAAGAAGCTGCGGGGGCTCCAGCCGTTCCTGACGGGGGACATGCAGCAAGAAGTCAACGTGGTCCTCATGTACCTGCACCAGTGGACCGCTGAGCACTGGGGGGAACACCCAGTAGAACTGGTTGACGACGACGAGGGGGGAACAGTAAAACCTTCCACCGACGACGCAACGGGGGCGGCCAGTACCTCGATGATGCCTACCACCGCAGCGGGGGAGCAAAGTGAGAGCAGTGAGCCAAGGCGCCGGCGCTCGCTTGAGAGTCCTAGCTCCCTCGACAATGACGACTAGGTTGTGTCTGTTGGGGGCCGCGGGTTTGTGTGTACGTGTTCATCGGGGGCTCACAGAAAGGGAAGCATTTGTCGAGGAAGCCGGACCAGAGTGCTGCACCAGGGGCCAGAGTCTTGTAACGCAGCTAGGGGTAAGATTGTTGCTTCTGTCTTGTCTCCTGAAGGCCCAAGTGTCAGCCTCCTTCCACCGAACTAGCCTGGGGGACCTTGTAACCGCAACTAGGGGTAGGCATGCTGAGATGTCTTGTGTATGAAGGCTCGCTCGTTGTTTTGGGCCCCCTGTCCCCCAGCTCGAGGGGGAAACACCCCAAGCTTAAGTCCACCACGAAAACCGTGGGGACGCATTGAGGCTCCTCCCTCTCTCTGCAAGCCCCCACCACGAAGCCATAGGGGCGCGGAGATGAGGCGGGTTGGGGGTCCTAGTGTTCGGGGTTGGGGGGCTTACAGCAGGGGGATCGCCTCAACCTTCGTTCTCAGTTTCAGCAGTCAGTGGGACCCCAAAGCCTGCCACTCAATAAAACAATGGGTGGTAGGGCGGGCCTATGGCCTGAGGGTCGGGACAACCGACCCCTACGCCCTGCAGAAAGAAAGAAAGAAAGAGAGAGAGAGAGAGAGAGAGTTGCACCAAGCCCCCAAACAGGGGAGAACCGTCGAACAGATGCAAGCATTGCGGGCGGCTCATACCCTTAACAAGCCAGCAAGCAAGCAGAAGCAGCAAGCGCATGAACTGCACCCGGCCTTCATGCTGCCAGTTCAGTATTCATCCTTGGTGTATGCTCACCCACTGTGTGACTTGAGTCACCAAAGACAGTGCTTGGACAAACATGCCGGCACACTTTCAAGCGCGCAAGCCTTTAGAATTCGCCTTCGGACTTGAAGATTAGATGAAGTCTGCACATGTCAGGAGGCTATTTGTGAGCACTGCAATGAGCGACCGTGGTCTCGGATGCCACCTCCTCCATGACTCTGGTGCAGTAAGCAGGGCACCCAGAGATCCAGCACACATGTGGCAGGTGCTGTGAGCCAGCTGTGCTAGACTGGACCAACTCAGGCAGTTCCAGCCCGCAGGTGTACCTTATCTTGTGCCTTCTTGAGCACCATCAAGGAATTAGTGCAGTTTCTCCTGGAGATAACAATGGTGATGATCGCAACGGCTGTCATCCGGAATGCGCTTCCTCGTGTTGCCATGCATGGTGGAATGCTCTGCTGAGTCTACTGTCTCTGAACATGTGCAGCCTCAAGATGCTTCCCGATTGCGGCCAAGTTGGCAAGATGCAGACGGAGAGAACGTATTGTCGGCAAATGTCGGCAATTACAGTATGAGTGGATGCGGTCGACGTGTGGCATCGACACCGTTCTTGGGCCGGACATGCAGCCTATTTATTGCTCTGCCAGCAGCCATCGGGAAAATTGACCAGCGCAAGCAACGCAACGAGACACACGCGTCGTTCGAATGACGGAAACCTGGAAAAGGACTGCATGTGCTCGAGAACGGGCCAGCTGAGAGCGCATCTTACGAGTCGTGCCTGAAAGATTTTGTACTTGGTGCCCAGGGTTAGCCACATGTTACCTGCAGGTGGTGGAGACTTCTGATCAGATGAATCGCCTGATACGCGAAGGAACGGCGGGATTTTCTGCATGTTGAAGGCATTTAGCGGCTCTGCGCCGAGGGGTTATAGCTTGTAAGTTGAATGACGCGTGTTTCGATGCGCAGGCTTCTCTCAGCGGACTACGACAACAACAAGCATGAACGAAAGATCATCGCGGTCTCACTGCGTCCAGATTCTCAGACGGATGCTCGAGGATGGGTTGCTGTGGTATCTCAGCGTCATTGCCCCGAGCAGCTCAAGCTCTCGCACTCGTTGAAACGGTTGATCTGTTGAAGGCTTGAGTGCTCCTGCATGCCATGCCATCGCGGGATTTCGGTACAAAGGGGCCCGACACAAAGCTAAAGTCCAAGGTATGTTGCCAAGGAGAATGGCATCCCAGGGGCAGGGACAGTTGCGTGCTGGCTCAGGTCTTCACGATCTGTTTGCATCACCACGATCTGTCAGACAGCTCCAGGCGCCAGACGCCAGAGATGTGTTGAAGACTTCCGCGAGTTTTCCTGGATCGCCATGAAGGTTCATGTCGATGCTCAGAAGCTTCTTTTGTCTCGCGGGCATGGCTCCAGGAGTGGGAAAATCCCGGGTGGAAGCCTGAACTGGCACAGCCCTGGGATCCAGGTCAGGCCCCGTAAACCGACGAGCAAGCAGGCAGTCCCAGCAATCGCTTGAAGGACGTATTCCAAATGGTTCAGACGCAGTTCCTGAGTCTTGAACCACGATTTGATTTGTGCCCATATGCATGTCGTAGAGGGCGTGAACCTAAATGTGGGCAACGTTTCACAACGGCCCCTTATGGAGAATGGCCGCTTAGACAGCCGACGTGCCATGACGGAGGATGGCTCTTCAGCCGGGTCCTCAATTCAGGTCGGCAGAAGGCCACCAGCCTTTCACCGCTTTAGCCTGACTGAAAGTGCAAAGGCCGGTTACCTGCAGTGCTTCCAGGGCCTTGCAGCACTTGCCTTGGGCCGGAGGGAAGCGGAGAGGCTGCTTCCTCGCACCGGTGTCATCGTTGCGCATGCCATGCACACACGCACAATACTACAGGGGGGGGGTTGTTCACATAGGCTGCATTTTCTTGCACCTGCTGAGTTGTATCAACCTGAGAGATCTCGCTCGCTCTCATTGCAGGCCGGCCGTTGCCAGGAGCAAGTCCAGTGAAGACTTGCTCGCCTTGCTGCCGTCTCCGGAGGTCACAACAACCGCAACTGGGCTTGATCAGCATTGGGGTAGTTCCTGGTTTCGCACGTCACAGTCGGCGAACTGCAGCCGACAGTTTGGGAAGCTTACAAGCGAAAGGGTGCTCTGACGTGAATGGCGACTGGTGCATGGCGACTGTGGGAGCACAGTTGTTGGCTGTGGGGCTTGAGGGCTTAGTGGCTCGTGCGGCGCTTTTACCTGCTCAGCATGTGTCGGAATGGTTGGGACCTGGCACGCGTCCGCGCAGCATAAGTAGGTTTTTGGAGTCAGCAGCTCTCGAGGTTCTGGACTTCTTGCAGCCTTCTGTCCTTGGGATCCTGCTGCTTGGTGATGATTGGCCCGCCTTAAGCCCCTAGCACGGATCCCCCTGCTCAGGGCTGGAGCTTGCAGCTCATGCCGTCTCCTTGCGGACTCAGAGGACAGGGCCAGATTGGAGTGCCAGATAGCGGCCGAATGACAAAGCGCAACGGAAAGAACCGGTCAACAACATCACAACAACTCAAACGCAGCCACTTGGGCTGTGTCGGTATCTTCGAGTTGTGAAGCGCTTGCTTTGCGTGCTGTTCTGCCATACTTGAACGCTAGTGAGCCGCTAGTGGTCGCTACTACATTTCGCGGCCACATGCACAAGATGTTCATGTATGTTTCAGCAGTTTCGTTCGGAATTGCAAGCTCTAGTAGCTTTTACTTTTGTTTCTGACCTTGCAAGAAGAGCACCATGAAGCTCAAGTAGAGCTATCGACCATCCTGTGGTGACCAGAACGGCAGCAGCAGGAGTGCGGACATCTGCATGCAAAGTGTAAACGTAAGACGTGCCAAAACCTCCTCAAACTATTCGGGAACTCTGCATTGCCGCTGTGATGCAGGCGGTATGGCACAAGGCCTGTGTCCGAACTTGGGCCAGCAAACAGCATTCGGCAAGGATGAGGTGGGCAGCTGCTGCTTCGTACCCCTGCAAGACTTTGCAAGATGCTGTTTCTGCACGCGCTGTGGCAGACAGCACTGTGCAGGTCGTGGCTAGCTGAATCTGGCCCAGAAAAGGCAAGCAGTGACCCGCCTTCACGGTCTTTGCCAACCAGTTATCCCTGTGTCCCTCCAGATGCATACTTCCTCTTCTGCCTGCCGAGGTGATAGCTGCGCACGCTCAGAGGAGGAGAGCTGGAAGGCCGCCGCGCAAGACCATCGCATATGAAAGGTCGATCATGGGTTGTTTAAGTTTACAGCAAGCTAATTGCAAGTTTTGGGTGGGCATAGGCCCGATACGTCTTCGCGCTGAAAGACCGTCATCGCTGCCGCATTCTTCCGGAGGACGGTTGTTGCGTTTAGATGTCCTGCTGCACATGCACCCCCCCCCCCCCAAATCCTCACCTACCCGCACTATCTCCCAAGTTGGTTACACACCAACTGGAATCTGCAAACCTGAATCAGCATACAGATGATGTGCGGCAGGAGCTATGTTGGGATTCTGGGCGTGATGAGATGGGCAGGCCCAAGCGCAGAATGCTGTCTGTGCCGGAATCACGAGGTGACGCCTCCTGAACGCCGGCTTTAAAAGATGTCGAGAGCCTTCAAGTCTGCACCAAATCGTAAAACTCTTTCACCATCAAAGTGCACTTCGATCCCACGAGGAACCTTTTAACAGCCACGACAAAGATCGAACTCAAGTAACTCGTCAGGTGGGAAGGCGGTTAGATAACCCGGGACAAGTGCAGCAAGAAGTTCCCACCGAACCACGATACAGGCTGACAGACATGCGCAGACATCATCACATCCACCTGAAGGCCTTTGCCGCGGCGCTGGCATCTCAAGATGCACCTGGGTCGTGGCTTGGTTGCAACTATGCATTGCTGATGACCCCATCCATCCCAGCAGCCTCGCTTGAAGTGCGAAAGTCCGATGACCTCACGCACCCCCTTCAACGCAGCACCACTGTGATGTGACGGGTTGGGTGTACTTGAGATGCTCTTGGGGAAAACGAAATTGAAGAGCAGTTGAAGTTGTACAACGGTAACCTGTCCCTGTGAGTCAAGCCTGTGAGAGATCACTTGCAAGGCTGGGTTGACAAGGAGGTCATCTTTAGCCCTGGTGGAGGACCGCCCAGCTGACAGGTCAAAGTCAAAGGCGTTTGGGCCACAGTTGAACAGGGATATAGCGACATCGCGCGCCTGGAGAGCTGGTTTGCAGCAGGATCCTTCGCTGACTTCGACTTCCGAGTGCTGAACTTCCGTGTCTTCCAGGAGTGATGACTGAACTTTTCAAGCTGGCCTGTAGGAGTGGTCGAAGTCTTGATGTCCCCAAGCGGCAGGAGCTGCCTTGGAGACCTCATCCAGGCCAAGACACTGCCCTTCAGGGCAGCTGATACAAAGCACTGATGCTTGCAGGTACCGATGGTCCTTGGGAAGACAGTGGCCCTGGCTTTGTGGGTGGGGGCCTTGAAGCCTTGGCTTTGCATCGAAGGAATCGAAGGTGGGCTCATGCTGGGATGTTTGGTCGAGGCCAAGAGCCCGAGGCAGACGAGGACGGCGCCATTCAACATGCGAAGCGATGCCAAAAAGCTGGCGGTTAAGGTGTATAGTATATGGGGTTTAGGGTTTCACGACCCGGGAACTAGCACATCAGTAGCAAGCCGTCTCTTCTTCGCAGGAGGATGATGAAGACGACGTGGAGGAGGACTCACCCGATGAGGGAGAGGATGACGAGGAGCGCCAGGGTCACGAATGATGAATGTTGTTCCATGCAGCTGACCGCAGCCATGCCCCAACCCGAACTGATCGAGCATGTCCGGGTGTGAAAAGTGGTCGGGTTTGACAGCTGGCTGCAGTCACCAAGCCTATCAGCGGCACATGAGATCTCGGGCCCACCTGACGGCTTTCATCTTTACTCTTACTATCGCCTGAGTAAAGCAGCTCGTCTGTTTAGTTCATCCAGGCCAAGTATCGCATGTAACTTCGAGCTTTGGAATTTCAAGGACGAAGAGGAGCCAGATGAGACGCAGCTGCTCTCCGAGACGGAGAGGGTCTGAGCAGCACTGCGCTCGCAGCGGGAGGGTTAGGTCAGCAGCGGTAATTTCTGAGTCGCACAAATGGGGTTTGTCATGGTAAATCGCGGCAATCACTTCACCTTTCTCTGTGCGTTTGCTCGCTGATGAAAGTGCGATCCTTGTGAAGGAGGAAGGCCAGGACAGTGCCTCGGAAGCGTCACCTCGGGCCCCACGCAACGAGGTCTTCGAGCCAGGTCTCAGTGAGTCTCCCTTTGAGCCTCTCTCTGGCTCAGGCCGAGGACTTCGAAGACTTGCCGGACAGTGACAGCAGTCCCTTGGGCTGAGTGCCGGTGCTTTGTGGCCCCAGCATGCTGCTGTCTGGCATAGGGCATCTCATTCGTGGAAACCTCCTGGATGACTGGACACCGTGGGCATAGCAAGATAAAAGCTTAGTGTATTGAGGTTTTCAACCCTCAGCCAAAAAAGGCATCCATACCAGCCAGAGCAGACCACGCCGGCGCATCCTTGGATCGTCGGGTTCTCATCTCTTGTCGCAGAGATATGACGTTCCTGCCGTGAGCTGTGCTGGTCAGCTACTCCGGGTAGTTAGTCGCAGCTGAAGTTACACGACCACGCATCCGTAAGGCCCGCGGCACAGTCTTCGCTGCCACCCCTGGCCTCGTTGCCCACACCTACACTCATGGACATGGATCTCAGCCACTCCGCCACGTCGCAATAGACACAATGTAGTGGGGCAGTGAGTCTTGTGAGAGAAGCTCGGCTTCTTTGTGTTGGCAGAAACCTTCAAGCAGACCTCTGGGTGACGGTGATTCTTTCGGAGCATGCCTAGTTAGGATGTGTTCGGTTTTGTGCAGATGTCCACAAGCGCCATGGTCACGGCATGTCGTTCAAGAGAGTCTTATTTCAGCCGTTCGGTTTAAACTGGGAGACCCCGATGGCTTTCGATGTGACTCGTCCGACACTGTTCCGAGATCCCAATCCAGCTGTAGAAGCCTCCGTACCCACAACGTCAACATTCCATAAGGTTCCAGACTCACACAAGCCTGGCCAGGCTTCAACCGGAGCTTCGGCCGAGACAGGGACCGGCCCCTTCTGCGGCACACACTGGCCCCTCGACGCCTGCGCTACCATCACTATGCTCATGTCAGATACATATTCACCGCGCTGTTGAGAACACCATCCTCTTTATTTAGATTGGCATGGTTGTGATGAGGTTGCCAACGGTGAGGATCTCATGCTACGGTTAACTGTCTCCTGCAGTTGCTGTTGCGTTGCCGGTTGCTTGTTGTGCCAGTTCCACTGTCACCTACCAGTGCTACTAGTTCTGGAATGCTGGGCTCTTTAAATTGCCCGATCATGCGGGGTTCACCGTCTGTAGTAGTTAACAGAGTCTGCATCATCTTGATTTCTTGCGTGTCGAGATGGAATAGCTCAGTCACCCAATTTCATGCTCTGGGGTCTGATCCGTTCGTTCTCCCGAGGCCTGGGGCAGCCGTCGCGCCGCCTCGGAGGCTGCAGCGGCTGCTGCGGCCGCTGCAGGCCTAGTGGACGGCGCTGCGCTCAAACAAACCGAGGTGGATTTAGAGCTCCCACATGGACCTGATATAGTGCAGTACGAGGGCAAGGTATAGTGTCCTGAGAGATGAGACTGCCTTTTCTCGGTGCGCAGCATGGACACAAGTGTCAGTGCATCCAATGGTTCACACATTGTACAGCCTTGGACGTTACTATAGGTCGGAGACGGGATCTCCTTCCGCAGCCTCGCTTTTTGCGAGCTCTTCGCCCCCCTCCGCCACCGTGACTTCGGCTTCCCTATTGGACTATGGCACAGGAAGAGTGAGAGAGAGAGAGAGAGAGAGAGAGAGAGAGAGAGAGAGGGAGGGAGAGAGAGAGAGAGAGAGAGCGCCCTCCCC